GGTTGGGTTTAAGGGTTATTTAGGGGTTTAGGGTTTAGGGTTTAGGGTTTAGGGTTTAGGGTTTAGGGTTTAGGGTTTAGGGTTTAGGGTTAGGGTTTCGGGTTAAGGGTTCAAGGTTAAGGGTTCTATGGCAAGGCTTTGGGGTCGAGAAGAACTGATCGCAGCATGAGGTCCCCCAGCAGCCCCAAAAATTGAGACGTCCGAGTAGCTAGCTGAAAGTTTCAGCGAGCCGAGCCTAAAACCCAAACCCTGGACCTCTACTCTACACCCGACAGACAGAGACCTGCACAGAGCTGAAAGAAGGGGCGGAAATCAAGGCACCTGTAGATATGGGGGTTTCCAAAAATAGGGGACCCTAATATACTACCCCAAATAGGAGGATCCTTATTGTAAGGACCCCAAATAAGGTACCCCTTATTTTCGGAGACTCCCATATACCGCAGAAGACAATACACCCCCCTCCTCCCAAATAAGGCTTGCAGCGGGGATCCTGGTTTAGGGTTTACGGTCTACTTGAAGCAGAAATCCTGCTCTAGACACTGATTATCAGGCGTCGGCATCGATCTAAGAAAGGGAACCAGATCTGGTTTGGATTCTGGATTTGAGCACACTACATCCTAAACCGCAATCTGTAAAGCCTCCTTTCAAATTAATGACTCCGAATGTAATTACCCCCAAACCAAACCCGCACTTCCCAAATCTCTGAACCCTTAAACCCTAAGCCCTATAAACCCTATAAACCCTAAAACCCTATAAACCCTAAAACCCTAAACCCTAAACCCTAAACCCTGAACCCGAAGCCTGAAAGCTTCAAAACCCGAAAAGCACCAAAGCCCTAGAAGCCGCACAGCCTGAACCCTGCACGCCCTGTAGAATCCTTATGGGAGTTTCCGAAAAGAGGGGGTACCTTTTTTGGGGGTCCTTATAATACGGACCCTACCATTGAGGGTACTACATGAGGGATCCCCTATTTTCGGAACCCCCCCTTAAAGATCCTTTGTAGGGAACCCCACTCAGGCCGAAAACCCTTAGCCTCCCCAGACCCCAAAACGTGCCTTACTGTAGCAGCCTAAATAATCTTAATAGGGTTTTGGGGGCCCATGATACTATAACTATACTAAGGAACCCGCCACAAATAGTACGGGTAATGATTTAGGCCCCTAAACCCTAAACCCTTATAGTATCCCTTCTAAACCCTTTAAGGAACCCTTTAAAGGAACCCCCAAAAAGAGTATAGGTAATCATTTAGGCTCCTTTATTCCTTGCCGCTCAGCAGGGTTCGGTGCCTTTTCTGCTCTCTGCGATGCGGAAAACGCTCGGGGCAAGTCGCGGCTTTCGGGGCTTGCGGGTAGGAGCTCGACACCCCTTTGGTGGAGGAATCGACCTTGACAGGAATAAGATAAAAACATACATACATACATACATACATACATACATACATACATACATACCTACACAGACATAAAATGAAATCACAAAAGGTCTGTATGTGTGCAGACATTATACTGCTATACTGTGTGTACAAATCTTATATGGAGGAGGTCATGTGTCTAAGGTTCTAGGGTCTTATAGGGTTCAGAGCTTACGGCCCAGCAAGGACCTACATGGATCAAGGTGGCTAAGGTTTATGGCTTAGGGCTTAGGCCTTCGGACTTCGGGCTTAGGATTTATGGCTTTAGGGCTTAGGGCTTAGGGCTTAGGGCTTAGGGTTTAGGGCTTGGGGCTTCGGGCTTAGGTTTCAGGGCTTAGGGCTTAGGGTTCAGGAATTTAGGGGTTTAGGGTTTAGGGTTTAGGGTTTAGGGTTCAGGGATTCAGGCTTAGGGCTTACTGCGGAGGATCTCAGGGTTCAAGACGTGTCGGGCAGCCTCAGCACTCAACCCGGAAGCCCGAACACCGTGTACTACAGGGCCCAAGCAGTTCGTTAGGTTTTAGGTTTTAGGGTTCAGGGTTCAGGGTTTAGGGTTTAGGGTTTAGGGTTTAGGGGCCCAAGTAGTTCGGATCTGGTTGTGGGTTGTCCTATAGCACAGTTGTTCGGATATGGTTTTAGGTTATCCTAGAGTCTTATCGTATAGTTACACAGCTATACAGGGACTACAAAACGATTCTACTTCTAGCTATCCCGACTTCTGTAACAAACGCCATCGAACTCTCCACCTTGAGCCCAAACCAAAAGCTCTCCACGCCTCATCGTGAGAAGGTTTTAATGCTTCACATGATACATCCAGTGCAAATATACCAATTAGTAGGCATCTCTAGTGCATGACCCCGACTCTCATCAGAGCTCATCTTTCCCTTCTGGGAGTAGTCCTGAGACTCAGAGAGGTTTCAAGCTTCGGGTTTAAGGAGGTCACGACGGTGTGAGGAACTCAAGGCATTAGGGCTCTGGTTTTCAGGAGTAATGTCAGGGCCTTAATTTTAATTGGGTTTGGAGGTATGTTATACTATAACTGTAAGAAGGAACCCCCCAAATAGTATCTGTTCTGTGGCGGACAAATAGTATCGGTGATTATTTAGGCCCCTATAGTAGGGCCCGGGGATTCCTGATTACAGTTTGGAGCGCTGGAATCCGGGCGTGGGCGTCGGGTTTGCAGTTCGTTTGGACATGTCCCTTCAGCCATCCGGCCTTTTAGGGTTTAGGCTTTAGGCTTTAGGGTTTAGGGTTGGCCAAAACCCCCCCGAACTCATCATCAGCAGCCCACCAAAAATCCATGTCCGAACAGCTCTGCAACATTGCGAGGGTTTCTCCACGTCACCACCCCACCGCACACGATCGTCAAAGCCCATCGGCTCCAACCTTTCGCCGCAAAGCTGAAAAGGTCCTGGGCCCCAAACCGGTTTACGGTTTAGGGTTTAGGGTTTAGGGTTTAGGGTTTAGGGTTTAGGGTTTAGGGTTTAGGGTTTAGGGCCCTAACTAAACCCTAAACCCCTAAAAAAAAAACTAGACCCGAAATCCGATAGACCCTAAACCCTAAACCCCTGACTTCACACCTCAGCAACTGTGGCTCTGACGTACAGTGACGGGCTCCGCCTGCAGCCGATGGGGTGAAGAGCAGTCATGGAGGTAGTATACTAGGGGTACCCCTTAAAGGGTACCCCTTCTGAGCCCTACTTTTGGCTCTCTTAAAAGGGAGCTTGAGAGGGTCTATATCCCCAAGGGTCACCCTAATCCTAGCTCCCAATGCGCCCTGTGTTTTACAAGGCCCGGTCGTAAACCCCAAGACAGTACACTCCGCCTGCCCTTTTCGGGGTTGTAATTTGCGGGCCCGTGAAGTTCTTTATGATTCAGCACCTCTGTCGAGCTACAAGGTACCTATAGTCTCCATTGTGGTTCCTTTGTTTTGGTTTAACCAATATATTATATTAAGGATCCTATAAGGTAACCCCAAAAAAGGAACTAGAATGGAGACTATAGGTAAGACAAGAAGCACCACCTGGTTGTGGAGCCTTACATTAGAGTCACAAGGTTTCTGCTCAACCCGCTGAACCTCGAGCTTTAGAGCTGGGCCTCGCAAGCTTTCGGCTTGAAGGCGTAGGGAACTCCGCTGTCGTGGCTGGGATAAGGAACGCATGTCATCTACTATGCGGATGTAGGGCCTTAACTCAAAACCCTCAGAATCCAAGAACCCAATAATCATATACTCTACCAAATATATACATAGATTCTATCCCAAACCCCAAGTACCTGACTGTTGGATCCTTCCTCTGCAAGGTCTCAGCCCTTCAGTCCAAGATTCTGTGCTGTAACTTTAGACTGCTCCGGGATTTAGGTTTCATGTTCCGAAAATCTCAATACTTAGTTAGGCTTTAGGATTTAGGAAGCTTTTAGCTTATGAAACCTAGAGTTGCCCTAAAGACTCCCTAGGCTTAAGGGAGGAGGGCTGTCTGGGAAAACCCACGCCTTCTCCCAGCCGACACGGCCCAATCGCTGCACGGAGATCCTTCGCGCCTGCACGCTGCATGTATTTTTCAGGATCAAGCCTTTTATAGGTTTCAGGTTTAAGGGGTTTGGGGATTTAGGGCTTAGGGCTTAGGGCTTTGGGGGTAGGGTAAGGTTGTTCGGGATGTAAGTTTTAGGGCTGTCGGGTTAGGATTATGTGGGTTGTTGTTGAGTTTAGGCGGCAGGGCGTTCGTTGGCGTGGTGCTTTACAGTAGCTGCCGCTCGTCTGTACTGACTTGTTCGGTATCCAAGGGCAACTAGAGATTAACCCACGGGATTAAATAGGGATCATCGTACTCCAAACAGCTTAAAGGTCACACCTACTCTGCTACTCGGTATAAGTTTTGGGATTAACCCTGTACCCTCGACTCTTGCATCTAGGCTCTGGGTCTCAGGTTATGGAGCATCAGTGACTTGCCTAAATCCTTCAAAACCCCTCCAACCGGTGGGGTTCTGTAGCATTTAGGGCTTTAGGTTTCCAGGCTGCTCAAGTGTGGTGGGCATCATGGCTAAAACAAAATGTAGGGTCTCCGGCTTCGGGCCTTTCGGGTTTATGGCGCAGGGTGCAACATGGGCTGAAAAGTACGGCTGCGTGTGTCTCGGTGTTCTTTTGATAATAAGTTGTAGTTGTGGTCTGGCGGAAAAGGTGCTGATGGCGTGTCGACCTGCAAGTGTAGACTGTGCAGTATTCCTAACAAATCAGGAAGATACAAAACCGCAACATTATCATGGCGAGACGTCATCCTAAAATCCATTCGGCCAGTATTTACGTCCACCACACAAATTACCATCAAGTCGGACAGTCCCCCATATTCCGGATTCACCCATGCGTTTCTGTACGCAGTACATCTCATGCGTTCAGTTCACCGCAACCAAATCTGACGTACAAGCTGACGGATGTTGCTCCTCGACCATGACAGCTAGGACTCGAGATTTCTAGGGTTTAAGGTTCAGGGTTTAGGGTTCAGGGTTCAGGGTTCAGGGTTTAGGGTTCAGGGCTTAGGGTTTGGATTTAGTGTTTAGGGTTCAGGGTTTAGGGCTTCCAGTTTAAAGGCGCTTGCAGTACATTGCAAGACTTTGGTGCGAGGAGTTCAAGATCCAGGGCTGGCGGAAATGGGGTTAAATCATACTGTACGTAGCTGCATAGGGACTACAAGAACGGGAGAGTTATCCTAAACCCTAAACCCTAAACCCTAAAACCCTAAACCCTAAACCCCCAAACCCCAAACCCTAAACTCTAAAACCCCAAACCCCCAAACCCCAAAACCTAAACCCTAAAACCCCAAACCCCAAACCCCAAACCCTAAACCCTAAACCCTAAACCCCAAACCCTAAACCCTAAAACTCTAAAACCCCAAACCCTAAACCCTAAACCCTAAACCCTACACCCTAAACCCTAAACCCTTAACCCCGAAACCCTAAACCCCAAACCTCCACATTAACACGAGCTGGCCTGGTACTGCACCCCGGGTGGATGAAGGAGCGAGACGCAGCGGACTGGGCCCGGGTTGGCGTAGAACCTGTCAAAGGCTTGAGGAGTTGAGGGCTTTAGGGGTTTAGGGCTTTAGGGTTTTAGAGTTTAGGGTTTTGCTTTTTAAACTTGGTAGGGTTTTAGGGTTTAGGGTTTGAGGTTTAGAGTTCAGTGCTGGATTTGCGGCAGTAGGATGAAGTACAAAGTCAAAATACCGATAGCCGTGGCAGGTCTTCGAACATTACGACATGTTCCGAAACATGTTGTTACATGTGGGTAGTTGTCAAAATTATGGTCCCTTTTGGGGTACCCTAAATAATAGGTGCCGTATTATAATAAGGGCCCACAAAGGGACCATAATTTTGACAACCACCCACATATTGTGAAACCTTCGGTGCAGAACCGTTCTGAAGATCTGGTACTTCACCAGGAAACTGAAACCCGAAAGTCACAACCTGGAGCCCTAAACCCTAAAACCCTAAACCCTAAACCCTAAACCCTAAACCCTAAACCCTAAACCCTAAAACCCTAAAACCCTAAAACCTCAAACCCTAAACCCTAAAAGGAGCTTGTTCGAACCCACGCCCTGGCTTTGAACTAAAAAACCCCGCTTAAGAGCTTTAAGGATTAGGGCTTTAGGAATTAGGGCTTTAGAGTTTAGGGCTTAGGGTTTATAGGGCTTAGGGTTTGGAGTTTAGGGTTCCGGGTTTAGGGCTTTCTAGTAGAAGCCCAAAAGTTGGAAACCCAATAGCCTCAATCCTCAAGAGTAATGTATAGGGAGTCCCAGCACCCTTTGTCCTTAATCCTGTTTCCAACTTTTTGGGGTTTACTATAAGGAGTTCCAGTTCGACCCAGTCTTTGGACGACGAACAGGGCGACCAGCATTAGCATTAGCTGGAATTTAAAGTTAACTCACTCTGCCAAATCCGGTTTCTGAGCCCGCGACAAGGTTCCAGTTCAACACAATCATCGGACGGATTCAGTGTGAGGACGGGGCGAGCATTAGCAGCATCAGCTCGAACACCTTTTTGACTCACTCTCCCAACTCCGGTCCTTTGTACCTGCGGCAAGGGTCCAGTTCAACCCAATCATTGGACGCGTTGAATGAAGGATGGGGCGAGCATCATCAGCATCAGCTCGAAAACCTTTTGATTCACTCTCCCAACGCCGGTCCCTCGAACCCGCGGCAAGGTTCCGGTTCAACCCAATCAGCCCAATCATTGGACGGATTCAGCCCAGGACGGGGCGAGCATCATCAGCATTAGCTCGGAAAACCGCTTGGACTGACTCTGCGAACTCCGGTCTTTTGGAATCCGCGGCAAGGTTCCGGTTCAACCCAATCATCGAACGGCTTCAGCGAAGGACGGGGCGAGCATCATCCGCATCAACTCGACCACCTTTTTTACTCACTCTCCCAACTCCGGTCTCTTGAACCAACGAGAGGTTCAGTTCAACCCGATGATTGATTGGACGGATGAAGCGAAGGACTGGGCGAGCATCATCAGCATCAGCTCGAAAATCTGCTTGACTCACTCTCGCAACTCCGGAACTTTGAACCCGCGGCAACCCGATCATTGGACGGCTTCAGCGAAGGACGGGCCGAGCATCATCAGCATCAGCTCGAAACCTTGTCGACTCAGTCTCCCCACTCCGGCTAATCATTGGACGGCACGCATCATCAACATCAGCTGGAAAACCCTTTCGACTAACTATCCCTACTCCGTTCCTTTTGAACCCACGGCGAGGTTGCAGTTCGACACAATCATTGGACGGATTCAGCGGAGGACTGGGCGAGCATCATAAGCATCAGCCGGAAAGCCTATTTGACTGCCTCTTCCAACGCCGGTCCGTTGAACCCGCGAAAGGTTCCAGTTCAACCCAATCATCGGACGGATTCAGCGAAGGATGGGGCAAGCATCATCAGCATCAGCTGGACAACCCTTTTGACTCACTCTCCCTCTTCCGTTCCTTTGAACCTGCGGCAAGGTTCCAGTTCAACCCAACCATTGGACGCGTTGAATGAAGGATGCGGCGAGCATCCTCAGCATCAGCAGGAAAACCTTTGTGACTCACTCTCCCAACGCCGGTTCTTTGAACGCTCGGCAAGGTTCCGGTTCAACCCAATCATCGAACGGATTCAGCGAAGGACGGGGCGAGCATCATCAGCATCAGCTCGAAAACGTCTTTGACTCACTCTCCCAACTCCAGTCCTTCGAACCCACAACAAGGTACCGGGTTCAGCGAAAAACTGGGCGAGCATCATCAGCATCAGCTAGAAAACTTTTGCGACTCACTCTCCCAACGCCGGTCCTTTGAACGCTCGTCAAGGTTCCGGTTCAACCCCATCGTCGAACGGATTCAGTGAAGGACGGGGCGAGCATCATCAGCATCATCTCGAAAACGTCTTTGACTCACTCTCCCAACTCCAGTCCTTCGAACCCACAATAAGGTCCCGGGTTCAGCGAGAAGCTGGGCGAGCATCATCAGCATCAGCTGGAAAACCTTTGTGACTCACTCTCCCAACGCCGGTCCTTTGAACGCTCGGCAAGTTTCCGGTTCAACCCAATCATCGAACAGATTCAGCGAAGGACGGGGCGGGCGTCATCAGCATCAGCTCGAAAACCTTTATGACTTTATGATTTATGACCCACTCTCCCAACTCCAGTCCTTCGAACCCACAATAAGGTCCCGGGTTCAGCGAAAAGCTGGGCGAGCATCATCAGCATCAGCTGGAAAACCTTTGTGACTCACTCTCCCAACGCCGGTCCTTTGAACGCTCGGCAAGGTTCCGGTTCAACCCATTCATCGAACGGCGAAGGACGGGGCGAGCATCACCAGCATCAGCTCGAAAACGTCTTTGACTCACTCTCCCAACTCCAGTCCTTCGAAGGGTACCGGGTTCAGCCAACGAAAAGCTGGGCGAGCATCATCAGCATCAGCTGGAAAACCTTTGTGACTCGCTCTCCCAATGCCGGTCCTCTGAACGCTCGGCAAGGTTCCGGTTCAACCCAATCATCGAACGGCTTCAGCGAAGGACGGGCGAGCATCATCAGCATCAGCTCAAAAACGTCTTTGACTCATCAGCATCAGCTCGAAAACGTCTTTGACTCACTCTCCCAACTCCTTTGAACCCACAATAAGGTCCTGGGTTCAGCGAAAAGCTGGGCGAGCATCATCAGCATCAGCTGGAAAACCTTTGTGACTCACTCTCCCAACGCCGGTCCTT